GCAACATGAATATCGCACCTTGTAAACTCATTTGCGCGTACGTGTTGAAACAAATGTTTGCGGGGGGTAACACGGCCAATGGGTAAGCGGTAACAACCAGCAACAGCAACTGGCAACAAATGTTGCATTGGCAATTGCCATAAGTCAGCAGCTCAGCTCGGTAGCAATAGCAACATGACCACGCCACAGGAGCGCTGCCCAAGTTGCATGCAGTTTATGTGCGGCCTAATGGGGTTGTTGTTGCTGCTGCTGCTGTTGCTGCTTCTGATGACGCAGTTGCTGCCGCTGTAGCTGTTGATGTGAAGCCACCAGCAATACGTCCATCTTCATCATGGTTGCTGCTTTAGCTGCTGTTACTGCCGCTGCTGCTGCTGCTGCTGCTGCTGCTGTTTGCCATGCTGTGCACTTTGCGTTTGTCTGGTCTTCTGCTTCTTTTTTTTTGGCACCATGACACCAGCAGAGCAACGGTGAAGCCTCCAATTCCTCTTCAGTCAGATGGCCTCCCTCAGTTGCTGCTGCTTTATGCAAATGCGTCTCGGCTGCTGTTGCTGCTCTTGTTGCTGCTGCTGTTGCTGCGTGTCAATGCAAACTTTGCTGACTTGCATGCGAATGTTGCTTGCACAAACATTGAGGCGAACTGCAAAAGTTGTCGTCGTCGTCAGTCGTTGTTGTTGTTGTTGGTGTTGTTGTTGGTGTTGGTGTTGTTGTTGTCTTGTCTGCTGCAACACAAACACCACCAACAGCAGCAGCAACCGCTTGGCTTGTTGGCTTGTGCGACCACAGTTGGGTGTCCTGTGCGCGCCCAGTTAAGCAAACTTTGAGGGATGGTGCCGGAGAACTGCGCCACAACTTTCGACAACGGCAAATACCGCCCAGTGTTGCTGCTGCCCACCAGCAATGTGGCTAAATATCCTGCTGGTTACTTGCCTAAAAAGTGAAAGTGTGCAACGATATTTTTAATATTTTAAAAGTACTGAAAATGTATTTAAAAATTTTTTTATAGTTAGGATTAAAATGGTTTTGCAAGACTCACAAAAAAAGATACGCAATGCTTGTTAGTTTTTTAAATCTTTTACAAACTTTCTAAAAATCTTCCATATATGTTAATTACCAGATCTTACCAATCTGACTCCTATGCGTCTGTCTCCACTGGCAACTTAAAAGCTTACAGTTTTGTAATATTTTCTCTAATTATGGAACTCTAACGTCTTCTTAAAATTCTTAAGCAACTTGAGAAAGCATTTGAGTAAGAGCGCAAAGATATTTACTTATTTAAAAGATGTTGCAATTTATTATTACACATTAATTCACTTCAACTCTAATAAAGACTACAGCTAATTGTTGGCTATAAAATAGCTAAATAGACAGCCCTGCTGCGTAAGTTGCCCGTCTCGCTGTTGGTGTTACATTTTTACGTGCTCCAACGCCCAATGATGGCACGCACACACACACACCGTGGCATAATCAAACACGCATACACACACGCACACACACCGTGGCATAATCAAACACGCATACACACACGCACACACACACACACACAGAGACGGATACTTAACTCGGTGGTCAACGGACAAAACTCCTACGCAGTCAAAGAGTCGCGGCAGCATGATAAATGTCAAATCTCTGGCTCAACCTAGAGCTGCAGCTGAAGCTGTGTGTACGTGCTTGGCAGGAGCAGGACGTGTGCCAGTGAGTTATGCGGCATTTGGCACCAGGCACTGCAACAAAAGCAACAACAACAACAACAACAGCCAGCTAAGATTATTCGGACAAAATCAATTAAAATGCCAGGCGGCATGACTCACACGCACAGAGGGACCCCAAAACATTTGATGGAGGTCTGCGGCACCAAGACCGATTCACATCATGCACTGAGGTTGGTCCTCAAAAAGTGTTGAAAGCTTGTCTTTTGTTTGTGCTAAGGGAAGGGGGATGCTGCGATGCTGAGATGCGTTGATGGACCCAATAGTCAGAAATTACAATGCTTATGCATGCAGACGGCGAAAGAGTATAGTATGAATTTGCATACCCAATCATCATCATCGCCAGTCGTCTCTCACACTTGACCCCGTTTTCGATGAGGAGCTGGAGGAGAAGAAGTAGACCCGGTTCTGTAATCGATCATCAATGCCAAAAAGTGGCCGCATGTCAGCGGCTCATCCGCATCAACAAAAGTGCAGACATTGTGGCGTTTCACGATTGCAGGCGTGCATTAACAGCAACAGCAACAATAATAATAACAACAACAACAACAACAACAGCAACACCATCAGCAACAGCAACAGCAATAACAATGCGCATACCACGGATATCAATTAATTTCAGCGACGTGAAAAGGCCAACAAATCGTAATAAGTCAATGCCTGAGAGCTGTGGGGACTCGAATCTTCGGCATGAATCTATTGATAAACACAAATAAGTTTGTTGCTGTGATTGTGAGTGTCGAGTGTAAGTATGAGTGTTGAGTGCAAGAGTGGCAGGATGAATGTCCATATGTCGATCTTTCGATATGACGGTATGTCGCTATGTAGAGATTCTCGGCACACAGCATCGAGGCAAAGTCACAATCATCATCAATCGGTTAAGAAAATATTTAACAAGTGTTTGAATGATTTTGAAAAATGATGTGCAGCATGTGCAGCAGTCACAACCACAGGGAATTGGACTTCAATTCCACTTCCAGTCTACACTTGAAAAAAAATAAATAAAAATGCAGCATGACATAGAGCTAGTAAAATCTTTTAGAAAAATCTTTAAATTCAATATCTGAAAACATTATAAAATCACGTAATGTATTTTACAAAAAATTAAAGTTCACTTTCTACTATTAATAGACTGTTTTAAATATTTTTAATATAGTCAATTAATTGAAAGAGATTTCACTTTCAAGAAGGCATCATCAAAATTCTAGGTCATCATTTATTATCAGTGCAGTATTCTGTGCATCTCGACCAAGTCCAACAGCTCTACAAATTATTGCACGCGATCGCTCATTTCCAGCAGAAATAACACAAACACGGCAGCACCAACAACGACAACAACCACAACAGCAACAACAACAACAACAAAAACAACCAAGATTCGATCATAAACCAGACAGCCAGCGAGGCAACCCGTTTCATGCATTCAGTACCCAGTACCCATTGCTTTACCCATTCCCGTGTGTGCCCGTAACCGTAACCGTATCCGAATGCGATGTAGAGAGATATAGCAAATAAGATATGGCTGGGGCATGTCATGCGCCCGCGACTGTGAAAACATCTCAATGGCAAAAGTATCACATCATTCATAATTTCATTGCCGGGCAAGTGGGAATTGGGAATTGGGAATTGAGAATGGAGTATAGAGTATGGGGAATGGGTAGAGCGGTAAGGAATAAGGGGCAAGGGGAATATGATGTGGAATGGGAATTGAGTTGTTGTTGCTTGCCACGAAAATCTCTTCTTGGCCTCAAGTGTTGAATGTTTGCTCAAATAACAACAACAGCAACAACATCTGATCTGAAGATCTTGAGCTCTCGATCTTGTTGTCGATCTCAGAGGCGCGGTGAAATTTGACAAATGAACCACCAAAAAAAAAAAAAAAACATCAAAAAATAACTGATAGCAAGCCTTGCGTGTGTGTACATGTGTGTTTGTGTGTGTGTACATGTGTGTGTAGCCTGAAGTGATCATTATTAATGATGACGATTTGTTGATATTTTTGTAACGTGTTATAGTAAAGGCAAACGTACGTCTGCGTTGCGTTTCGTTCCGAAATTATTACAAACAAGTGCAGTCCTGGCTAAATGCCAAGTCACGCACCACAACAACGAGAATGAGAACCACCCGCCACAGATGATGATCCACACAAATTGCCAGCTGCTGCTCCGTATGATGATGATGATGATGATGCTGCTGATTCTGCTGCTGCTGCTGCTGCTGGCCGGAAATCTTTGCATAATCTAGGCTTATAATTCAATTAATACGATGGCTTGTGCACTTAACGCCCGAGCCTGAAGTGCAACACTAGAGTAGAATGCTGCCACATGACTGGCAACTTGAGAGTGTCGAGAGACGACCGAACCGATAGCCCTTCTATCTGCTCCCCCCCTACGCATTGGCATTGGCATCGGCATCTGCATCGTCGTCACACTGTCTGCTGCAGATGCTTCAGAGCTTCAGCTTCGGTTACAACTGCGATCCGTGCACAGGTGATGATGTTGCACCGGAAATCGACATCAAGTGTTGCCAAAGATCAGTTGGCATTAGCAAGTGACACATTAGCGTTCAATTGCTGCTAATAGTCACTTGCCATCTACTTTGTTGGATACGATCTTTACAAGCCATCTAATGCAAATATTTGATCTATTAATGAGTGGATAACAGCATGATAACTGCCTTACCTGTCTTACCGGTAAATAGATTGCACTATAAAATTGCACTTAAGACCGATTGTGAAATGATTCTTACTAAAACTTTCCTATAAAGATTCGGAGTCAAGTTCGGAAAAATACCTCTAAACCTTCTACCTTCTCTGTGGAGAAAATCTTTTAAAACATATCTGCATAATTAGTATTAATGTTTATCGTTAGTTATTCCTCATCCATTTAACAATCTGGCGCAAATAGTTTTTATAATCCTTCAAGAATTCCAAACAACATTCCCATGAAACTCAGCAATTTACTTTCCCTTCTAAATTTATAACACATTTATGGATTGTTTTTAAAAAGTATTGTTTTTTTTTCATTTTAATTGATTTCGATTCATTATTAATTGTAGTTGTTTATAATTTGTGTTAACTAAATGTTTACTTTCATTTAATCAATTTTGATTTTGCTTATCAATTTTGGCTATTATAACTATATACAAAATGCCTGGCCAATTACATATGTATATCATATATAAGTGTATATACATATATATAGATATATATATATATACATATATATATATGTGTAGGTATTCTTTTATACATTTAAAAAACAATGAAAATAAACAATAACAACATTTCTCATGATACGATAGGCATATAAATATATTTTACAAAAGCCTTGGCAAGCAGCTGCAGTTTTACTCGTTTTTTACCTAACAACTAAATCAAAGGTTGAAGCGAACGAGAGATGGAGATAGAGATAGTTAAATAGAGATATACATACGTAGATGCAAAAACACTTAACAATTAGGCATTAAACTAAATTAAATTTAAATTTCATTTAAATTAAATTAACTAAACTATGCTTAGGTTTTTATAGGCTATGCAGGAATGTGTGTGTGTTTGTGTGAGTGTCTATATATATATTCTGAGATGTGTGTATGAATGTGTGTGTGTGTGTGTGTTGGAATGTTGCCGACTCTATTTTGGACTGGGTTTGAGTTTTCCCGATGCTCATAGCATCTGTAGCTGTGGTAAGTAGTTGATGGACTTTGATTATGCTTCAAATACTCGTTATAGTACTTTAACGACTTTTTCACTGTCTGTACTCCAGTTGTGCTTCTTGTTTTTGTTTTTTTTAGTTGTTTTAGTTTTATGTTTTTCATTTCATATGAGCCTTGCGCTTTACATAAAATTTTGACTAGGAAAGGACGTTTTTCTTTTGCATTTTTTGTGTGTGTTTTGTTTTTTTGTTTTTGTTTGTTTGTTGCTCATGTTGCAGCCCCCAAGCTGCCAGCGATTGGCTTCAATGCTATACAGATGATCATTAATGATCAGCGATGAGCATGCGCTGGCGAGGACTGCTGCAGTCACACCTCGCTGGGCATACAGTGAACACTCGAGTCTTGCGACAGCTCATCCATCGAGGATTCTATAAAAAAAGAAAGACAAAAGTAATGGAAATATTTTGATTAGTTCAAGTTCATCTTAGATATATATATATATATTTTTTTTTTGGTCTCACCATGCGCTGGATATAGAGCACCTTTGGTGCCATTCATATGCATGGGATTCTGTGCGTTATTCTGAAATGAGTACGTTAACTGCAGGTTAATATGACGCGCAAATGAGCTTCCTTCCGGTTCGCGTACTGCAATCAGAAATCGTTTGTCGAAAGAGAACAGAGCATCGAACAAAATAAAACTTGATTAGCATCATGGTATACATATATGTATGAATATATATGCATAAGTACTTATAAGTAGAACTACTTAGAATACGTCTACACAGATACAAGATATGCTTGAGTCTACGTTTTGGGGGCAAGGGGCATGCTGCACTAATCCACTACTTACTTTTATTCTTACCAGCATGTATGTGTTTTTTCTGTCGCGCCCGCGAATTCTGAAACCAAACTTGCGTCACACGCTTGCTCAGACCGGTCACCGATGCAATCCGCTCCAAATCCTGACCATCCGGATTACTGTCAATCTGAAAGTTGGCCTGCAGCACTTGCAATTGCTCCTCTGTGAATGTGGTGCGCACGCGTTTCGTTTTACTCTTGTGATAACCATCACCATCACAGCCATCTACAGATATACATATGGATAAATCGAAATACTTGAGGTTACTGAATGCAACATGGGCATACACACACACACACACACACACACTCTGTTTACAATACTACATGTCCAACGAAGAACGTGCCTAAGCCGGCGTCTAAAAGCATTTTGACAGTGCACCAAATTGAAAATGTCAAAAGTGTTTATAGTTTATGGCCGGTGTGGCTTTATGGTCCACAGAGCTACTTCTTCTTGGTGGGTCTACTGCACAGTGGGGTAACCAAACAACAACAACAACAACAACAACAACAACGACAGCGACATTCTGAAGCCGATCACGTCGTCTGGCCGCCGACTCTCAGTTATGCCTCAGTTGTGACACGATTTCATCAGGTTTGCGCAGCCAGAAGGAGCTGCCAATCTTGGCCAGTGGCGACTACCTGACGCTCAGTTCCTCCCCCCCAAAGCAGCGTTCCAAATTGCCAACCGTTTCGCTTGCCCCCAAAGCGTGCAACATGTTTTCAACTTGTCGCCAATGTAAATACTTATTTACTTTTGCTTCGCTTGGACTTTTGGTTTGGTTTGTTTTCTTTTTAATTCATTGTATTATTATGCTCTAATCCAGAAACGAAAAATGGGTTTATTGAATTTCTACAATGTCCTTCTGTTGTACGATTCTCTTTGATGTATGTATATCTGTGGCAGACAAAGTGCTGCGGTTTTTGTTAAGAACCACAGTTTCATGTCATCAAATATTAAATAAAATTGGCAGCTAAATTATTTAAAGAACGATTAAAAGAATATTCCTGACAATAGTTTTTGAACTAGAGTTATACAATTTAAAGATCAACCCAAAGATATTCTCGCCAATCGCAAGAACGAATAAGCTAACAGTTTTGAGTCTTACTAATCTCGTGATCAGGAAATTTGCCCACCTGCCCTTATTACAGTGTATTCCGCAGTCGATTACAGCCGAGAGCAACGTTCATTCTTGTTATTTAATTTTGGTTCCGCTTACCGTCACTTGATGTGGTGCCACCCTCGACCGTTTCAAGATAATGAGCCTTGCAGAGCACACGGTCATCCATGAGCGCAAACTGTTCGCCAGTGGACAACTGGCGTCCACACTGATCGCAGGCAAAGCACGCCAAATGGAAGACCAAATCGCGGGCTCGTCTCACCCAGTCGGAGGCGGAGATGCTGCGACAGCATTTTGAGCACTTGGCGCCAAAACTTCTGCAATAAAAATAAAAGCAAGAAAACAGAACGGAAATTGTAGTTAATTATTGGATATGGAGGCAAAGTGCATTAAGAATAAAATGTATTTAGCATAACGAGGCTTAAACATTTTATTGAGCGCGTTTCACTGGTGTTTCACAGGCGATTCTCTGGCGTTTCACTGGCGATTCACTGGCGGTTCACTAGTGTTTCACTGGCGACTCACTGGCGGTTCACTGGCGGTTCACTGGCGTTTTACTTCCAGGTTTCTTGTGCGCGTTTTTGGTTGCACGTTTTCTAAGCGGAAGTTGTTGCTGCTCGTTGCCGCTGCGTTTTTCCAAATGAGTTGGCAACTTTTGACGGCTTATTGTTAGCTTTTAAGCTTATTTTTACAAGCACAACATTGTACGCTCATATTGGTAGGGATGACTGGACCTCAACAAACCCGGAGACTATGACTGGTACTGATGCTGATGCTGATGCTGGGTTGTGGTTGATGTCTCCATCTACAGCTCCAAACTGGGCCCAGCGCCCAATGCACACTTAAAATTCTTAACTTGAAAAATAAATATTTTTACAGCATCTCACGGCGCGTTTGTTTGTTTATTTTCATTTCGTTCGCCGTCGACACCGTTTTCCGCCTGTGTGGACAGCAACAACCCAACTACGAGTGTATCCACATGTGCCTGTGTGAGTATGTGAGTATGTGAGTGTGTCAGTGTGTGTGTGTGTGTGCTTGTATCTGTAAGATACTTTGCTTGCAACTTGCATTCAAAAGGCTGCTTCTGAGAGTCTCTCGCTTTCGTAGCGTTTTTTGGTTGCATCTTGCTCTGTTTATCTTAGGGATTAAGTCGCAAACGTTGTCGAATTGTTACAATTAACCTTAGACTTTATTTATATCGTGTACATCGCCTCAGAGTCGTGTGGGAAAATATGTTGGAAACACTTGTGCACACACACACACACACACTGACACTGACACACGCAAACAACAACAATATAAATGTTGGAAAATGCATTGGAAATCGAACAATGATCACATCGATTTCGATCTGATGGCGAGAAAGTCCCCAATAAAACATCAAATTAATGCTCCGAAATGAATGTATATAAATTGGCAAATGCTTTAGGGTATATACAAAAAATATGCAAAAGATTAAGCTGGTTTGCATAAAACGCACATAAACAAATATGCGATTTGTTTGATGATTTTCAAATGCGATAAATTCTTTGATTTGTATTTTTTGCTTTTGATTTTGGTTTTGGATTAAATACTTACTTGCTGTAATCGGCCTTGCAGTAGACCTGCCGTTCTCGGATGAAGCACGACTGTTGGCGATCCAGCGGGCACATGCACATGCAACATCGGAGGCAATGCGCGTGCCACGAGCAGCCGCCAACCTCGAGAAAAAATCGATCCGAGATTGGTTCGCCGCACGCTGCGCAGGAACGCAGCTCAGTCTGCAAAATATGAAAGATACAAATGATCATATAATCTATATATATTATATAGTCATCTCATGTTTAATGACACTATGTCTCTCTAAATATTCTCTCTAAACTATTATTCTAAAGAATCGACTGAAAATGGGGAATTCAATAACCGAAATTGATTTGCTCGTTGTATGTGTGCTTCGAGCTTTGAGCCGGAACCGGTTAATCTTGGTTTCGATTGGTACACTGATATTTACTTTTATCGAAGCGTCGGAGTAAGGGGCATCGTTTGTTATGCTTTCCGTTGAAATCGCTCAATAAATCTGTCGAATCTGCCGTCGGCTTCTGTTTTATTTCTTTACCTGCAACATTTAACTTACTAATGTATATTAAAATTCCCAAAAAGCCAAAAGCAAAACAATATCAATAACCACAACAGCAACAACAACACTAGGAAACGCCATCGGGTATTCAAGTAGACCCAGACGAGTTTCTATTGTTTTCAAAATCAAAATCGAAACATAAATTTAAAAAAGGTTATGCTAATTGTTACCATTTTCAATGTAGCTGAAACTGCTTTACTAATCTCACACTCACAGTCTAAAGTCGCAGTCACAATCACAGTTTGTGTCACTGTGTTTTGACCAAAAAAAAAAAAAAAACAAAACAAAAAAAGTAGCATATTCATTTAATTTATAGACCATCGATCGTTTGACGACTTATGAATATTCATTTTGGACTGCATGTTACGCCGTTTTAAAAGTGTTTCAAACTAATTTTATCGCATTTCATATACTACTTGGTACAAATACGCGTTTGTTTGTTTATTTAAAATGTATTTGCCGTGTTCGTTGAGTTAAATATCAACTCAAACAATTATGTCAACTACTACAATAATTTAATTACATTTTTCAGAATGTTTTCATTAACAGAGTTAAATTTTTTTTAGCTGAATTTGATTGTTGAAATATCACTTTTCTGGAAATTAATTGACTTTAGTTCTATAGAAATATTAATTTTTTACCCCTTCTCCTTCAACAATTATCGTGAACTATCATCTCGTGTAAATTAATTACGCTCAATTATGGTCCCATAATTTATTATCTGGCAAGTTTCTAGCTGCGAATTCAATTAAATTTCCGTTCTGTCTAGCTTTAAACATTTCAATTTCTCTTGTTGATCAATTTAATATATAGTATACAATTCAGTGCTGGACATTAAGGCATTAAATTAATGGCTAGCGTTTTGCATATTTTCAAGTCGTTAAAAAAAAAAAATTGTCAATGGAAAAAACAACAGAAAAAAAGATAACATCAACACAACCACAACGGCAACGGCAACGGCAATGACGTCGACTTCAAAAATTGTTTTTCCATTAATCAAAGCGGCAGTGAAAATAAATTTACCGTTTTTACCAAATTAATTGCTGGCGTTGGCGATGAACTTTTGTTGCTTTTGGTGTTGTTGTTGATGCTGCTGTTGCTGCTGCTTTAGCAAAACAATTGTTGGTACAACTGATTGTTGTCGTTTTTGCAATAGCAGCAGCAGCAGCAGCAGCAGCAGCAGTCGCAGCCTGTTATTAACTTTTGGCTGGCAAGTTCTGTTAAAAGCGACCGCCGACCAAAAAGGTTGCCTTTGACAAAATATACAAAATAAATACAAATAGCGCGACACATTAACAACAGCAACAGCAACAACAATAAGAATAACACACAACAGCAGCAAATACACATAATACAAAATAAATACATATATTTAAACAAAAAGTCGGCCGTGACTAGGCAGGCCATATCGGCACAAGATCAAAGTGGGTCTGTGTAGCGACTAGTATACCAATTAATAAACAATAAAAATAAGTATATACTACGCGTAAAGTCGCTTATTCGACGCGTCTCAGAAGCTAAACAACTGTGACGCAGTTGAGGAAAAACCGCAGCCGAAAACAACGGCAGCAGCAGCAGCAACAACAACAACAACAACAACAACAATATTAACAACGAACAAACAAATATCTCGCACATATTCCGCAAATTATTCATGACAATTTGTAGATACAAGCTGCCAGCTATGAGATACATTTAGGAGGGTAAGCCGTCAGGGGGTTTGTGCCTGGGAAATGCCTTCGAAATTGAAATGAAATAGCCGAAATATGCAATATGGCCACCATCACAAAAACAGACACACACACACACACACACACACACAAGCACATGAGCAACATGTAGCTGCGTCTCGGGCCATGTATCTCACAGATACACATATGTATATCAGTGTGTGTGTGCGCGTGTGTGTGTGTGTAGCTATAACTACATGCTAACATGGTGGCTGCTGCTCATTTTGGCTGCTGCCATTTAACTTTTCAACCGCGTCGCTTCGTGTGACACGTTTAATCGCGCCCTCCCCTCAACCCCTGCTCAGCTCCTGCAACGAGCCTGCGCGTTGACTGCCCCGGCCTGCCTGTCTGCCCGCCAACCCGCCTGCCCGCCTGCCTGCCTGCCTGCCAGCCTGTCACTTTCGTTTAACTTTTCGAACGAACGACCAGGAACCGAAAAACCAAATACCCAGTAGCTGCCAACGAAGGGGTCTCGGGGTGTTTTTTTTTTTGGGCAATTTGTTTTCCCGACGCCCGTTATGACACAGACACACGCACACGCACACACACTCATATGTGTAGCCAAGGACAGACTCTGACTTGACTGGCGGTCTGTACGTCATATATATATATGCAGTTATTGCTGTTGTTGTTATTGTTGTCATGTCTATGCCCACTTTTCCAAAATATGTATGCCTGTTGTCAGAGCTGAGCCCTGAAGTGGCATTTTGGCTAGGATGTCATTTGACTCTAATTTACTCATAAATGTTGAGGTTTTCTCTAAGAACTGCATAAATCGGGCCAAGCTTTGAATTTCAATAAGTATCTGTAACTCATCGTTAACTTGGATTCCTAATTCTTCAACTATTATATCTTTATTTCACATCATTTGTCCATACTTATACCATTATTTGAACAAATCAAACACAAATCGTTATAAAAATGTGCATGAATTCATTTACTAAAATAGGCAATTTGTTTGTTGAATTATCTCGGATTAAATGCTAAAGCGAAACATAAAAAATTCAAAGATCTGCACGTAACGATATGTATGAACAAAAGATATTATTAACAAATTTTATGCCATTTTACAGATGCGATGTTATCGAAACCGCCAAGACAGGCCTGCTGAAGAGACTGAGAAACCGAGCTAACCCAGTTCACTGCCTTTTTGATTAGTGGGAACTAGATAAGGCGGCCAATTCGTATCTATATGTAGATTTTTCAGATCTCTGCAAGCTACCCCAGCCAGTTTTCTTTGCTAGAAATATGGCAGTATTGTATACTATAAGCAATGGCACTTGAGTCTTTGGGACCGCTGTCTACGCTATCATAAAAATTCCATACACAAAACTTGCACCTTGCAACTTTTGCTTAAATGTCATAAATAACCGCCTCGAACGCCATATAAAACGTAAAGAGCGATACAAAAGGCCAGATAGAACTATAAAAAGATACAAAGGCCGAGAGACAGACGCTGAAGAGTATGCAATAAAATTTACAAGCTGCCATTTAATTACCCCCCAAAAGAGAAAGAGAGAGGTGTGAAGTCGAGTTTGATAAAAGGCAGATATACAAATATTATATATATATATATATATATAAATATATAAATACATAAATATAACTAAGTATACACATTTGAATATAGGCAACTTGCTTGAAACTAATCAATTGATCTGCTTAACCATTCATATATTTCCCTTTGAGTGCGAACAGTAGCCGCTGTGGTGCAAACAAAAGCCACAAAAATGACAATAGAAAAGAACTATATCATCTATTACTCCTACAGTGGCTGCTGCACGCCTAGAAGATCGATTACCCAAAACGATTCACTTCACAAATTTTCACGTCATTGCGCAAATTGAGCGATCATCAATGGGAGCAGTTTCAGTCCCTCGATCGATTGATGGTCCCAAGAAAAGAGAAAAAATGTGACAAAAGCCCAGGGCTGAGATACACTTTTTAGTCATCTGACTTGTCATCTTGTCTATGATGCTTTTTTGGCTGAGGGACAAATCAGCTCGGCAATCCAAATAATGAAAATCAACAAATGTAAACAGCGTGAGAATGTTGCAGGCTTCATGACAAAAGCCGCTAACAACAATCGAAGCAATACAATAATATAAATATACTGTATATACTACAATACTATATGTATAGATATGTATGTATATATTTACTTATACCGGTGACCACTTGTCGTAGAGGCATTTTGGCAAATGTTTTCTTAAGGCCTTTGGGCTATATTTAAGGCGCTTTAAAAATTGACATCAACAGTAATAATAATAATAAAATAATAATAACAACAAATGCAGGTTTAAGCGCCAGTTAACAATGAAGGCTGTGCCAAAACATACATAGACTTATACATAAATAATTGCACATATACATTTATACATACAGTTAAATAACTTAAAGGGATTGCTTTGATTTATAAACCATGGAAATTATCAAGAGGCGTCTGTCAAATAAATATTTATTTCTCTTTTCTTTATATACAATATATTTATGTATTTTTGATCAGATTCGTTGCTCAAACACTTTCGAAATAAAAAAAAATCAGCTCGCTTTTAATTAGAGCTACTTTTTTGTTGTATTTTGGTGTTGTCGCCGATGCGTGGGATACTGTTTAAAAAATATTTAAAAATATTATGCCAATTTACACGTCGGCGTTTGTTTGGCGTTAAGATCAACGTCGTTGCTGATTGTTATTTAATGACTACTCTTTATGAATGAAAACGAATAAGGGGCGCCCACGCGTTGCCCATCTTCAGCGTATTTTACACATTTAGTATACAATACTCGTACTCTCGCAGACACCAATCAATTGGTTAAATGCTTACAAATATTTCACGACGCGATCGAGCTGGCTTATGAGTGTATGTGTATGAGTGTATGTCACCATTGTCTGTGTCTACGAGTATGGCTATAG